TTAAAGTGGTGTGGGCTTGTGCAGAACCATCCATACTTTTCAGAACTATTGATATACTTGGTCAGTGCAAATAAATGTCACAGACAAAGCAGACAATAAAGCTCAGGCTTTTTGTGTAACAGTTTTCCATCACCTAGACCAGTCATGTTCTATAACACTAAAGAGCCTGGTCAACCCTAGTAGGCACTATTTGCCCATAACTGGGACCCTAACAGATGCTACCACCCCAGTTCAGGGCAGATCTGTGAACAACAGCAATTAAAAGGTGGTTCCATGCTCCTCAAATCCTCCAATCTCCTGATCACAAGACTTACTGCCAGATGTAGTTTATCATCATACCCAGGACATATATATATATATATATATATATATATATATATATATATAAATAATATATATATATATATATATATATATATATATATATATATATATATATATATATATATATATATATATATATATATATAAAATATATATATATGGAGTATTGCTGCCATATATGGTCTGGTGCCCTTCTGTTTGCCTCAGGGTTCTTGATAGGCTCCAAAGGCGGATATGCAATGTAGTTGGCCCTGCCCTGGCATCTCGTCTACAGTCACTTTCTCACAGACACGTCGTCGCCTCCCTCTGTCTGTTCTACAAATACTTTCATGGAATTTGCTCTGAGGAGCTGCATTCGCTGGTTCCCAGACATCATGAGTTCCAGCGCCTTACAAGGCTGGCATCCCGCTCTCACCCCTTCACTGTCGAAACTCCTAAATATAGCCGTCTCTTCTACTCTAATAGCTTCATGTCTCGCACCTCTCGCCTGTGGAACTCCCTTCACTATTCCTGTTTCCCTGTGAGCTATAATCTCCAGCTATTCAAGTGTAATGTCAATCGACATCTCCAGGTGCCTTGATCTATCCACTACCCTAATCCTTTCTTCTATCACTCCTATCTGATCTTGCTCTAAATTTTCTGTAACCCCTTGCGTCCTAGTGGCTTCCCACCTTGCTTGGAGGAAATGTTTAAAAAAAAAAAAAAAAAAAAATATATATATATATATATATATATATACACATAAAAACTGAAATCTTGAATCCTTGCTTATATATTACGAAATTCCTGTTAAGCACATATGAAGGTGGATAAAAATTAAAATGTACATTTCAATTACCCCCCCACCAATACATTTATAATACCTGTGCATTTATTTCTCTTCCCTCTTCTTCTTCTTCTTCTTCTTCTTCTTCTTCTTCTTCTTTTCTTCTTCTTCTTCACACCCTCCTCCTCCCTTTCTATTACACCCAATGTCTTGTGTTTGTTTATTTTTTAAAAAATAATGTAGCAGTCTCTCAACATTGTCAATATGACTTTACACACATGTACATAAAAATAAGGATATAAGGATAGATACACAGATACCACCAAGCAGATCCTGAATTTTCATCTATCACGATGAACATGTGTTCTCTAGGGTGGCTCTGTGCCTTGAAAAATCCTATTGGGACAAGCTCACACCTAACCCCAAATGGAACTCTTACATACAAGTCATTGCTAAAGATGTAGGTAAAATGGTATAGACATTTTATTTTTGTGTATGGAACTTGCTCCCCAGTTGGGGTGATAGAGCAGCCCCACTGGCTAGTTAAAAATGTACACGTCGAAATGATTAATAAAATAGATAAGTCCAAACAAACCAACTAGTGATCCCCCAGCCGAGAGAAGAAAGAGAGAAAGACAACTTTATTATGATCGCCTCAAGATTGTCAACTAAGAGACCCGTGAACGAGGGGGATATACAACAATAAGACTTTACACAAATGTATGTACAAATAAGGATATCTATACCTTCATTCATTCTGTTTTTATACTGTCCACTTAGTTTGCTAAGGCAATAAAATATTGTTTTTTAATGTTTATATATTCATTTTTATGCTTTTTTGCTTGAGAAATCACTATACCATCTTTCTCCCTACATATCCCTTCATCAATTGTGTATGTGCATGGAGCATAGCAGCTATATGCATAAAGTAGGATTAGCATCAGCTAAACCCATTGTATTCTTTTTCTGGAACAAATACCCTTCAAAATTTATGAACCTGTTTCCGCTGTCCTTATAATTTGAGGTTAGTATCTGGTTAATATATGTAGCTTTGGTTGGTAACCAGTCTAGCAGTGTACAACCATGAATTCAGAACCTGTTGGACATGGGGCAAGTAATTCTATTCCGTATCTGTCTATATTTCTGAGATGAGGTATTATGTACATTATTTATATTATTTGGACTATTGTCCTCATCTTTGTTACCATATTTATTACAACGTTTCAGCCATTGTATGCTCCGGCCTTCTTCAAGTGGTTGGAATGTCGAACTGAATCCTTTATTTTGCTCACTGGGGTATACTGTTCTAGTTCCACATGCCATGTTTAATGGATGTCAGTTATCAGTTATTAATTTTCCTCTGAAAGTTCTCCACTACCTTAACTAGGTATTGAACTCACACTCTTTGGGTCCTGTCACTGGATCTAACTAACGCCTTTATCCACTGTGCCATTTGTCCTTGAGGGTTCCATTCAACATTCCAACCACCTGAAGAAGGCCGGACTGTACAACAGCTGAAACATTGTAATAAATATGGCGACAAAGATGAGGACAATAGTCCAAATAATGTAAATAATGTAACCATAAAAACCTACTTTCTAAGAGACACATTTTGTGGATTTTTTGACAGATTAGTTTGGCCTCCATCAGGCCCTGGCATTTATCTTATAGATTTCACAATATGGCCCATATTGGAAAGTAATGTTTCATATTCAAGTGTGTCAGAAGAAGCTCTTATGACATCATGGTACAATTTGAGTGAAGAGATGGTGAAAAAGTCATGCACTTCAGTTGAGAAGAGATTAAGAGTTATGATGAAAGCAAATGGTGGTCATTTTGGATTGTACATTTTCCTAATAGTAAATATATATATACTATCAATAAATATAACATTCAATCTGTAAACTTTCATTAACAAAAACCTATAACTTTTTATTTTATAAAAAAATTTCATTACTGAGAATTTTTGGCGTTTAATTGGAGCAGTTTAAGTTTAAAGTTAGCCCACACAAAAATCAATATTAGTAACATTTGGGTGCAACTGAGGCACATCCCCAAATGACGGGGTTAACAATCTGAATGGGGAGGGGGTAACCCCGAAAAGGGATCTGTATAATAATAAATAATATTATTGTAATAATTGTAACTATTTATTTTTTTACTAAGGTTTTTATGAAAGATATATATCCAAGAACAGTAAATAGTAAAACGTTGCTGAGAGTTAAAATGGACAGGAAGTAGTGGAGAGCCATTGTCACCAACAATTTGGACTCAAAACTGGCACTGAAGAATTATCTATCAAACAAAAAAAAATTCATTGAAATTGGATGAAAACTGTGGAAATGCATAAACAACATCTGATCACACACGTACAGATACATGCACAGACACATTTTGAGAATTATAGATATAGATTGAATAATGGTAATTTTAGCCATTTCCCTACAAGGAAACATTTGGCATTCATTGACTGAACAACCAGTACTGTTTTTGGTTGAAATTTATAAAATCTTTCTCTTAAAACAATTTTTTTAGGAAAATAGATTTCTCAAATCCAGTAGCTTTTATCGCTCTTTTCAGTGTTGCCGGAGGTTTCCTTCCTAAAATTTTATTTGAAGTAGTGTGCAATGTCAACATTTTGATTATGCTGTTATTTTCTCTTCAAGTTACATGTGCTATCCATTTTAGTTGTTGCTGTTGTTGGTAGTCCTCAAGTGATGGGGTTTCTGTTATTTCGTACAGTTCTTTGTTTGTGATTCTGTAGAAATAGTCCACAATGTTCAAAGAAGGATGAACTTTGTATGCTGCACCTTATATATATATATATATATATATATATATATATTCATACATACATAAATAAATAAATTAATTAAAGACTCGGGATGTCTACATACCCACTAAATATAGTGTTTATAGTCATCAGAATTAATAGCAGATTAAAAAAGCAATTCATTTCTTGAAAATGTTCTTAATATAATATTATTCAAACTTTGAGATATCTGTCTATATTTTTGGGATGAAGTATTGTAATTATTTATACTATTTACATTGTTCCAACTATTGTCCTCATCTTCGTTGCCATATTCATGATGTTTCAGCCATTGTGCACTCTGGCCGTCTTCATGATTTGTCTATATTTCTGAGATGGGATATTGCAATTATTTATATTATTTACATTCTTCAGACTGTTGTTCTTATCTTTGTTGCCGTATTCCTGACATTTCGACTGTTGTACACTCTGCCCTTCTTCAGGTGACTGGAATTTTGAATGGAGTTAAAGAGTTGAGTTAAAGGTAAATTATTGATACTGAGACATCCAGAAGAGGCATGGCATGTAGAACTAGAACAATCTTCCCTGGTAGATGAAATAAAGAGTTCAGTTTGAAATCCCAATCAACTGATGAAAAACCAGAACATACAATGGCTGAAACATTGTGAATATGGCAACAGAGATAAGGACAACAGTCCAAATAATGTAAATAGTGTAAATTATTTTGAGATTTTGTATAAAATTCATTTATTGATTTGTTTTCTATGAGTTATCACCACTTTATGGCTTTAAAGCCAAAACATATTTTGGATTGTAAGACTATATATTTTTTTGCTAGTGAATATTACATTAACCATTTTTTGAGAATACAAGTCCTACTATTTAACCCATATTTGGGTTGGTTAGTTGGTTGGTTGGTTTTGTTTAGTGCCAAAATCTAAATATTTTGTATGTAATTTTATTTTTGGAAATAATAATGGTTTAGTGATACAAGTTTTACTAATTAACCCATAGCTGGGGAGAGAAATGGTGGGTTCATACCTTTACCAAGGTTATTTGTGCATAAGTGAATATAACAAACCTAACTGGAATTGGAACTCAGCTCATTGATTAACAATTCCAAGCCATTATCCAAACTTACAGCACCTGGTATTCCCAAGCAGTCACCCAAGTACTGACCAACCTCAACATTGCTTAACTCCTGTGATCGTACAGGAACTAGTGTTTCAATGTAATTTGACCATAAGCTGGAGAAAGAATAGATCTATGTATACCTTTCCAGGGGTATTTGCTTGTAAGTGAATGTAATAAACTTGACGGGAACTAGAACTCAGCTCTCTAATTTCTCATTCTGAGCTGCTATCTTTTACACCACCCACACATCCTTTTGTATACAATATATGAAAGGTTTACATGGGTAGATATTAACAAAAGTATAGACTGACATATGTTCATTACAAAGCAACAGATATAGCAATTGTTTGCAAGAAGATTCAACTACAGATGAAATGTATTGTTAGTCATTTTGCTATAAAATTTATTTTGGTAATTCTACTATAAATAGGTATTGTTGGTAATTTTTTATATAAATATGTATTTTCTGTATTTTTACTATAAAAATGTATTTTTATACTGTTATAGTGTTTTGCTTTTTTGGGGGGTTTCACTATTTGCCCCTAGCTAGGAACCTAACAGGTGCTACCATTCTGGGTCAGAGTGGACCTTTCTTTGAAAGAGCGTATCTTTCCCTCAAGATTAATTTAATTTATATTGTGTTATTTGTAACGGAAAGGAGAAAAGTGTTTGATTTTTTACAAAGTGCATGGATCTAATTGTCTTTTCCTTATTTCACCAGTCTTGTTTTTGTCCTAAAATTTCATATTTTTGGCAAAGAATAAACACTACAATTATGCATTCCCAGTTGTCCATCCTACCTGACCAATTTCACAAAACAACCTTGTATTCCCAGGATAACCCGTAACAGGTTTTTATTTTGCAATAAACCTTTTATAACTCATCGCCCATATCTTCTGTGTCATGTGTGCCACTACTGTTGTTACTCCACTTTTTCTCACATGCTTTTTAAAACAATAAACATTGCTGAGGGAGTGACTGCAGTACAAAATAATAGCAGAGTCAAAGGAAAAAAACATCCTTTTGACACACTATTTTATTGTGGCCATGAAGGTTAAATTTTGCTGAAATATCTATGAAATTTAGTATTTACTTTGTAAAACTCAAGTGACATATCTTGGGTTTTTTTTTTACTCTTATGGGAAGGAAGTTTAATTTCAATTTTCTTTTACATAAAATGACTGACTTGATTGTCCAACCTACCTGACTGAATCATACTGAGAAACACATTGAGCTGCTTATACAATTATGCTTCTATGAAACAGCTGTTAGTTAATTTCTGTTATTAGAATTGTGACCCAATCACAGGATTTTAATTTATACCTTGGGTAATAAATGATCCCTATGACGTATTCAGTCAGCTATCCTTTAAAAGAGCAGGTAGTGTATTTCAAATATTAGATATTATTGACTCTTCTCAAAGGTAGAGACAATGTATCCCTGTTTTTTGTATAGAGACTAAAAAGCAAAAACCAGTTGCAAGCCTCTCACTGTTCTATCACAACTCCTGTGGAAAGTGCCCGGATGAACTACATTCCTTAGTTCCACCAGTTCTAACTTTTATGGCTATTCTTTAGTGACACCAACTCAAAACTTTGCAATCAAAACTTTTCTTGTTAAGTCCACACTGAATCACCCATATTCCCTATTTTTTAAGAAGGATGTTTCGCTCAGACATCTTCTTTTCAAGAACCGCGACTTTATGGACAAGACTCCCACTTCTATGTCCTGGGTATGATGATAAACTACATCCAGCAACAAGGCCTCTGATCAGAAGCTTTTGGAAAACATAGAACCACCTCTTAATTGCTGTTGTTCCCAGATCCAGCCTGAACTGGGACAGTAGCACTTGTTAGGTTCACAGCTATGGGCAAATAGTTTACACCCATCCTGGGATCAAAACACTATGAAAGTATAAAAATACATTTATATAATGAAAACACCAGCAATGCATTTTCATAATAAAACAATTACTAGTAACACATTTTTGTAAAAAAAAAAGTTTTACTAGCAATATATTTTTGGAAAAAAATATATATTACCAACAATACATTTTTGAAAAAAAAAGTATTACCAGTAAAATATTTTTGAAAAAAAATAAAAATATTGCCAGGAATATATTTTTGAAAAAAAAAATTATTATTTGCAATATATTTTGGAAAAAAAAATTACCATCAATATATTTTTGAAAAAAAAAATATTACCTGCAATATATTTTTGAAAAAAATTACTTCCAATATATTTTTGAAAAAAAATTTTACCTGCAATATATTTTTGAAAAAAAAATATTACCATCAATATATTTTTGAAAAAAAAAAATTTTACCTGCAATATATTTTTGAAAAAAGAAATTATCTGCAATATATTTTTGAAGAAGAAAAAATTACCAGTAATACACTTTTTGAAAAATAAAAAAATATTACAAGCAATACATTTTGGGAAAAAAAATTACTAATGCTCTCAAGGAAATTAAATTTCAGCATTAAATGACCCACAAGGTGTTGATATGCCACTAAACAAATAAACAAAAACCCACTTCTCCAAACACTATAGTCTTAATCTCTTCAAATCTAGGATTAAGCATTATCTATCCTCCTTATCCTCATAATCTTCACTTCCTACTTCCCCTGTTACATACATATCAGACATCTCATTCAGTAACACTCTACCTTGAGTTGCTCTTGTGCTTTATATGGATTGAAAAAATAAAAAAACAACAACAGATTGAAGTAAATGTTTTACTTCAGCCATTTTGAATTTGACTAACTTCAAAATGGCTGAAGTAAAACATTTTTTCCTTTCTTTCTGCTTGTGATGGAGTCAGGTTTTACAGTTAATAAAATAAGAGTCACAGCTGGATGTTCTAAGATTGAAAACATTTGCCATTTCCTGCGTGTTCTGTTAGCCAACTTATGAAAGAATAAAGATGGTGACATTGCTTTGAAATTGGTACCAATAATCTCCGCTTGACAATGAGTAGCCCAGCAGTTTTCAAGTATCAAGGTCAGGAACATTTATGGCAGAGGAAGTGGGGGTATGGGGTGACTCTGACATTCCTCCTGTAAGAAAAGTAAAAAAGGCAATTAAGTCAGTGGATTATTAAATTGCCTGTAAGTAACCTTCTTTCAATCAAAGAACTATCAAATTTTATGGTACTTGTGTATTTGGGCAGCAATTCCTCTTTGATAGATGTTTAATTAAAAATAACTTGTTAATACTCTTGGGGATACAGTACTGTGTGTTCTTATATTCAGATTCATTCAAGATGTCTTTTAGTAATGGAGGTAAAACAGTATCAAGTGTTCAACATTTAATGGAGGTAAATAATATCAAGTCACATCGGGTTGATCCAGATAATGTGTGCACTATGAAAGAATTGAATATTCTCTCCTTTTATTTCCCCAATTATTGGTACTATTATATCCCTGATATAACACCTTATTTCACAGATGGAACTGAATAACAGAAAGGAAAAGAATGATAAATATGCTTTGTTCTCAAAAAGTTTTATGCTGCTAAATTATATACAAAATTATATATCCATATATACATGTGTCCCACACAGAGAAAATATAACACATATCTATACAACAAACAGAGTGAAAGGGGAAAGAAAAGATAAAGTCTTACATATAATATGGAGATTCTTCTGTGTTTCTGGAGAAGCCATATTTAGGATTCCAGATTTGAGCAGACCAGATACATCTTCTTTTTTGCTAGCAGGGACATATTCTGTAAATGGGAAACAGTGAGTCCCAGGTTTTTCCCCAATTAAGGACTGTGAGTCAGAGATATTTTCTATATCTGATGAAGATATATTTCCATAGGAAAACAATGCCATAGGCTTGTAAGCTAGTTACCCCAGCCAGAAGTTTGGGTGAAGCAACTGCTCAGTTTGATGCCTGTAAACTGACTGTGATTACCATGAAGTGATGTCACCAAGTGGCCATCACATGACTCACATGACCATCTCCACTAAAGGGAGATAATTGCTTTTGTATCCCTACACTAGTATATTGTTGTTTTTAATTTTAATAAATTTAATGTTAAATAATTTTTTGCCAGAGGTGGTTTATCATAAAACTAAATTTTTTGTTAATTTTGTTGTGTTATTTTACTTGTTGGCTGACATGTCATGCTACTTAATAGTTGCTTATTTAGGTAAGAATCCCCCTTGAAACAAAAATTTGTTAGAAACAAAGAAAACAGTCCTGAACTGTTATGTGATATCAGTCCTCATATATGGCAGTGAAAGCAATCTCCTCAAAGATGAAGAAGTGACTTCAAGCAACAGAAATATTGTTCTATGCTGAGGATACCATGAACTGAACATGTGAGCAACAATGAGGTTTTAGAGAAAATCGAAACAAAAAATAAATTTATACTTAACATCAGGAAGAGACAGCTGAAATTATTAGGGCACATAATGAGGAAAGAGGGCTTGGAAAATCTGATACTCACAGGGCAGTTTAAAGGCAAGAGAGACAGAGGAAAACAGCATATAACATACTTAGTGGATTTGAGCAAATGGATGATGTAACAGAGTTTAGGAGAAATAATAAAAAGACAAAATTTGTTAAGAGCTATGAAGGACAGGAAATTGTGGAGAGTCATGATCACCTACATTCTGAAGGGACTCAGCACATAAAGACAAAGTACTTCTGTTAATATTTTTTATTATGTTTTTATTTTTATTTTTATTTTTTTACAATGATGTTCATCCTGTATGAGGCCCGGGAGACACTCAAGGTAGAGGATTACAAAGTAAGAGGCACAGTTTATGTGGATATGTGGGGGAGATAACAGTTAATCCTAGACTTGAAGATTTTAAAATTGTAGTGATTGGGGAAGTATCCTCTTGGGAGTTGGTTCCATAAAGCAGCATTTCATAGGAAGAAACTGCTTGAGTGGAATTTATATTTCACCAATGGAATATGAAGGGGTATGAGTGTGGTTTGCTACAATGTGCGGAACATGGCGGGTCTTAACTATTTATTCTGGATAACATTGGAATCTGTGAATAGAATGACCAGCTTGGAGGAGACAAACTGTAAGACTACATCTAGCTTATATCGGTGAATCTGCCACAAAAATTCCAA